ACAAAGTAAAGGATGAAACACCTTACGAGTTATGGAAAGGTCATAAACCTTCATATAAATACTTGAAAGTGTGGGGGTGTTTGGCAAAGGTAGAAGTGCCAAAACCTAAACAAATAAAAATAGGACCAAAAACTATAGATTGCATATTTATTGGATATGCTTATAACAGTAGTGCATATCGCTTTCTTGTGCATAAATCTGAGATTACGGATATACATGAAGATACAATAATTGAATCAAGGAATGCAAGTTTCTTTGAAGATGTCTTTCCTCGTAAAGACAAAAATGATGTAAGTTTAATGAAAAGAACTTACGATACTGCAAATGATGATGAAAATGAAGAAGAATTCAGACGCAGTAAAAGGGATAGGAAGTCTACGTCCTTCGGTTCAGAATTTATAACGTACATGATCGAAAATGAACCAAAGACATTCAGTGAAGCAATGCCAACACCAGAGGCTCCCTTTTGGAAAGAAGCTATCAATAGTGAAATTGAATCGATAATGCAAAATCATACTTGGGAGTTGATTGATCTCCTACCTGGAAATAAACCTCTAGGTTGCAAGTGGATTTTCAAGAAAAAGTTAAAATCGGATGGATTTATTGATAAATACAAAGCTCGTTTGATAGCAAAAGGATATAGACAAAAGGAAGGTCTCGATTTCTTTGATACTTACTCACCAGTAACGAGGATTACTTCGATAAGAATCCTTATTGCAATTGCTGCGCTACATAATATCGAAATTCATCAAATGGATGTTAAAACAGCTTTTCTAAATGGTGAGTTAGAAGAAGAAATATACATGGAGCAACCTGAAGGATTTGTTGCTCATGGACAAGAGAAAAAGGTTTGCAGACTCGTTAAATCTTTATAGGGACTAAAACAGGCGCCAAAGCAGTGACACCAAAAGTTTGACAAAACAATGCTGTCAAATGGTTTTAAAATTAACGAGTGTGATAAATGTGTGTATAATAAGAGTACACCGACAGCATATGTCTTAGTATATCTATATGTGGATGATATGCTAATTCTGGGTAGCAATCATGATATCATTGTCTCCACCAAGAAAATGCTAACAAAACATTTTGACATGAAGGACATGGGTGTAGCATATGTAATTCTTGGAATTAAAATTTCTAAAACACCAGATGGCCTCGTTCTTTCACAATCTCATTATGTTGAATCTGTGCTAAAGAGATTTGGAGTCCTTGATGAAAGTCCAGTCAAAACTCCAGTAGACACAAGTCTACACTTAGCAAAAAATAGAAGTGAACCTGTACATCAATTAAGATATTCTCAGGTTATCGGAAGTCTGATGTACTTAATGAACTGCACACGTCCTGACATTGCATTCGCAGTTAATAAATTGAGTAGGTTCACATGTAATCCAAGCAATGATCACTGGAAGGCATTGAATAGGGTACTTCGATACTTAAAACATACCTTAAAATTTGGATTACATTATATGAGATATCCAGCAGTATTAGAAGGATATTGTGATGCAAATTGGATATCTGATATGAAAGATTCCAAATCCACAAGTGGTTATATATTTACACTTGGTGGTGCGGCAGTGTCTTGGAAATCCTCAAAGCAAACCTGCATAGCTCGATCAACAATGGAATCGGAGTTTATTGCATTAGATAAAGCTGGAGAAGAAGCAGAATGGCTACGTAACTTCTTAGAGGATATCCCGTGTTGGCCTAAGCCGATGCCTACAATTAGTATTCACTGTGACAATCAGTCTGTTATTGCAAGGGCACAAAATTGCATGTATAATGGTAAGTCTAGACATATACGTCGTAGACACAATACCATAAAGCAGTTGATCTCAAATGGTATTATCTCCATTGATTATGTGAAATCAAAGGAGAATCTCGCGGATCCGCTCACAAAAGGTCTACCAAGAGATCAAGTATATTATCTATCAAAGGGAATGGGATTAAAGCCAAACACGCATGAATCTTAATGATGGTAACCCAACCTTGTTGACTGGAGATCCCAAGATCTTGGTTCAATGGGACAACTAAGTTATTAAGACTCAGTTAAGCACTTAACCATCCCTTTATAAAAAGTGATGTCTGCAGAAAGTAAAAGGATAAGTTGTAACTTTTAATGATTCCTATAGCTTGGATAAACCAAGTGGGGTATAGCAGAATACTCTTAATAGGAGATCACCTATATAAGTGTGAAGTGGGGCCGCTTCTATGAGAATTTGGGGCTTGAAATTCTCTAAAGCACTTATGAATCCCAAGAATCGTTCAGGGCCAAAATGAACACAACTATGAGAACCTAAGAATTGTATAGAAAGGTTATTGTGTGGATACTGTTGCCTTGGTTTACACCAACGGCTGAACAGTTCAAGACATCAGTTCACTGATTAGCCAAGTAAACTCGATAGTATTCCACTAAGGCAGGTTCAAGGCCAAAAGCTACCTCTCCTGATGCAATAATTCTTTTGCCCGTACTCTCTGTTTGTGTCTGCATTGCATAGTCATGATAATTTCCATTCATGTGGGGGATTGTTGGAAATGGTGGGTCTATTGGGTCAACTTTGACCACAATTTTAAGTGGGACCCGATGTTCGATGTATCAAGATTAATGTTCAATTAAATTCTACGTTCCGAGTAGACGAGTGTAGAATATTTAATTGTGAAAAATCATTTCAATATGAATGAGAAATTATGGTTGAAAGTTGGATAATAAAGAAGAGGATAAATGGGAGAGAATTGGAAAAATGTTCCAATCCCACATAGGTTGCTAGTCCAAAGGCCACACTCGCGCGGACGCCGCCGCCGCCGTCTGTCCGACAAGCCGGGTCAGGTCGGGTGTGGGCCTGGGTTAAAATTAATTCAATTTTTTTTTTTCGGTTTAAAAAAAAATTGAGTTTAATTTTTTTCCCTCCCTTTGACAGTTTACTAATCGACCCATCAGTTCGAAGAAACTGTGCATTAAGTGGCGTGAGGGAAACTGTCCAAAACCGTCAACTTTCTTCCTCTATTTGAATAGTCCTCATACAACACAAAAAAACTCACGAAAATTTCCTGCATACATATATCATACATCTCTTCTTCCTTGCATCAGTCTGCAGAGAGTATTTTCATTCGTTCTGGTTCGTTGTCTTGCAGTCGAAGTGCTGCTTCTGCAAGTGTGATCGTTGTATCTTGGGAGACGCTTTACCACATATCGTAAGCACCGTGTGACTGGGTAAAAACGTCTTAAGGACAGAGAGCCTAGTTCTCGCCTCGATCATCCTCCTTCCGAATTCTGGACTTCTTTCTTTTCATAATTTTTCAAACATAATAGTCTGCTTTACTGTTTCTACAAGTCATTTTCTGCAAATCACTTTCTGCTTCTGCAAATCATTCATGGAAAATCTGTTTCATACAAACTTTTAATATTTTAACCAACAGTTGGAACATTTATGCACGAAACAAAAGATTTTTGCCTTGTTTGAACCCTATTTTTCCCAAAAATCATTTTCAACTACAAATTCTCCTATAAAATAATTTTACACTTAAATTCAAAACCTTTCCTTGTTTTTTAGCCATACATTCTCCCAAAAATCACTAGTCCAAGTTTAGTATTTCTCCTGAAAAATTGGGCTCAAATATGATCTTTAAAAGGATAAGTTCCATAGGATTAGTTGCTGGAGCATTAACAAGGGCAACATCAGATTTTGTTTCTGTTTGCACACAAGTTGATATAGTCGAGTCACAACACGATAGAGATCTGAGTTCAAGAAGAGTTGGAGCACTTACGAGGCTACCACCACCTAGTCCGACTCAAATAGCGGGTGCAGCCTCCACGGCGTACACCCTTGGTGGGGCAGTGCTGCGGATTGTGGCTGGGTGTTGAGGGATCATTTGTGGGAGCGAAATGTTATATTTTCCATTGCAGCAGTTTCAGCTAGTGTTTACACTTAAAATTTCATGCGGAAGGGACCACTTGTGAGGTCATTCTTGAGAGTGATACTTGGAGGATGGATTGAGATTGGGATAATGTTAGGGAAGAGGAACTAATTAGTTCATGAATCACACGGCTGTTGAGGACTCATTTAGCAAGCTTTTTTTGAAAAGGTATGTTAGAATATATTGAAAATCTATACATTATACGATCTAGTTTTGTTGAATTGTAAGTATCAAACTTATTATCAAAGTATTCAAAAAGTCCTAGTTCATCTTGTTAGTTAAATGAAATGGTATGAAAATAAAAGTGAAGTGTTCTTTCGAATCTTATTTTCAACGTGTTACGAAGATCTGTATATTCAACGTCTGATTCCAGGGTAAGCATCAAGGTCGAATGAATTTGAAAAGATAATATAGCTGAATGAAGAAAATTTTCACATTATTCCACCGTCCATTTATAATTTGCATCGATGATACAAAATTCTGGATGATTTATAAACAAGATTTAACTTAATCACTCCCTTGATACCATCTAGTAATGCAAAAGAGATGCATACAGCTAAGCCCTTTTAGCAATAGTGGTTAGCTAGGAACGATTATTAACATTACTATGGGAAAATTTTATCACCATTTCTGCAAGCCTCTTACATCGGAAACGAAGTCTTTATACCATGTTGCTGACAGTCTAGGAATTCTTTCAAGACTAGCATAATCTACGTGGTGAAGTCCAAATCTTATTGTATATCCAGATGTCCATTCGAAGTTGTCGAGTAAGGACCAGGCAAAATAGCCCCTCACATCTGCTCCATTCCTGGACAAAAATAGCAAATTTACCTGTCAGCGTTGGGTACCAGATTATGATTTTCCAGACTCCCTTATATGCCCGTTGGGGGCAAAAGGGATTCAAGTTGATTCGCGTCCACGCTAGTCTAACAGCCTGGGCTACAGGCCACAAAGAACAAAATCATGCCAAAAGATGCATTAATATATAAGATGAAATAGGATCAATACCTTATCGCCTTTGCCAGGGAATCCAAATGGTTTTCCATATATTCCACTCTTTCGACATCATTGAGAGATTCTGCCACAGATGTATCCAAATTGTTCGCATCACCTAACCCTACGGGATTTTTCCATTTTAGTGAAACAATTTTTTAACCTTTAAGGCTCTTCCAGAATCATATCGAAGCTTATTTTTACTGACATACCGTTTTCACAGATGAACATTGGTGTATTGTTGTATCTGTCCTTTATGTATGTCACAATCTTCTCCATTCCTTGAGGGTATACATAAAGCCAGTCCACTGCAGTCTATTTCAAGAAATGATTTGTGTGTGGACAATTTTTTTTGTTTAAATTGTCTTCAACCAAAGAAAAACAGATATACTTACAGATTTGCCAATAAGTTTACCGTCTTTCCAGGGTGTCCAGAGGGAATGACCCTCTGATTTAGATACTCCTAGTCCACCTCCACATTCCGAGTATATGCAGTCTTTGCTGTAGAAACTGGTATAATGATTGATGCCAATGAAGTCCAATCCAAATTTCAGTTTCTCCAGTTCCTTTTCCACAAAGACAGGCAGTAATGATCCTAAAATATTATGCATTTCTTCAGGATATTTCCCATGTATAATAGGGTCTAAGAACCTGCATTTGAGTTTAGAGTGAGATCACGCATAGTGTCCCCGACTTAATGGATGCCTGTGTAGGAAGAAAATGCTCACCAATTCATGTAGAAAGATAGAGTTCTCTCAGCAGCCGATTTGTCTTCTGCAGAATCACTGAAGGGCTCGAACCAGACGGCGTTCATAACAATTCCAATGCTACCTCCTTGTACATTCTGGATTACACTATCATCAAGTGTGTAATCATACCAAAATTTCCTTGTATTGTGCAAAAATTAATCTATATATACAAAATGAAACTTAGTTAAATCAAACCACCTGGTATTTTGTTCGATAAATGCTCACGGCAGCTGCATGTGATAGAATCATATTGTGTGCTGCAATTAGAGGCTCTTTCTCTGAATCGCCTTCTCTACAATGCCTAAATGAAACCGAACAGCGAGATGGAGGATAAATCCCGGTTCTATATCCTCGAATTGCCATGATATTAGGCTCGTTGATTGTTATCCAATACTTCACTCGGTCCCCAAAGTATTTGAAACATACATCTGCATAATATTCGAACTCATTCCTGAAAAATGTAGCATATACGTCACAAGAAGCTTTCCTTAATTATTTGTATTTCATTGTACATTTCAGTCGCAACTGCCTACCAAACATGCACTTATATTTTTATGCAACAATCCAACTGTCCCAACTTTAACATCTCACGATCAAACGAATACTTCACAAAATAATCACAAGATTAAGTGGTGATATGATGCTAATAAAGCATCAATCTTTTGCTGACAGATATGGTGAAGGGCGAAATTTAGAAGAGATCAATTTAAGTTATCATAAAAAATAAAGATGATGATAATACAGAAAATTGATCAGCGGCTTACTGTATTTCTGGACTTAGCCATGATCCATATCTTTCTTCAAGTTCTTGAGGGATGTCATAATGACACAACGTAACAAATGGCTGGATTCCTGAAAGTACCATATAATAGAATTTAAGACCGGTTTTGGTTCTTAAAACTAGAATGAAGTTATACACTAGCTCGTTATTCCTTTTGATGTTCACATTTCTATTTTATTTGTACGAATCTTCCAGATATATCAGTTCACTTTTACACTTATTGAATAACGTGATTGTATTTCAATTGTATATAATGGTTATAGAGTTACAGAAACAACCTTTATGAAGGAGTCTATCAATGAGGTCATTGTAGTGATTGATCCCTGCTATATTCACATTTCCATAACCCCCTTCTGCCTCAAAATAAAGCAGGCGGTTAATAATAAAGCAGACAAATTCAAATATCTGAAGAAATAATTATTAGTCTTCAGTCGAAATTAAATTTGAACTTACTGGGCAGAATTCTTGACCATGATATAGAAAATCGAAAGCTGTTCACACCAAGATTCTCCATGAGATCAATGTCCACCTGTTTATTGTTTTCATCACAGACCGTGATCATTCGAATTTTGTTCCCTCCTTTTAAGAAAATCTTGTTATGGATACAATACATTATTCGATCATCAACACAACTCAAATAAAATTGCTGGACCTGTAGTTTCGCCTCTAATCTATATACTCGATGACCTGATTACGAAGCTGTATCGATGAGCTAATAAATAATGTGAACTAAGATACTCTGTGAGTCGAAGACTAAATAAATGAAAATTGTGCTAAGCTTTTACACCATGGGACTCAACACAGAGCTTTTACACCATGGGACTCAACACAGAGCCAGTTTCTTTTGGCTTTTGAGGCATGTACTAAATTTATCACGACATGAGGCTGAAAAAACAAGAATCCTCACCTGTTAACCTCAGCCCTTGACTGGTGGTGTCAATCAGGCCGGGCCATCTGCAATCAGGCTTGGAACTCGCCCGTTGATGTACCCTGACATTTTCTCTGCCTCTAAGGAGGGCTGGGCTGAGTCGGGCATATGGGCCGTATGTATTACTTTTGTGAAAATTACACCAGAACTTTTAAAATTCAACTTCAAAAATCATATTTGTCGTTCTTTTATTCAAAAATCAGATGATAATATATTATTATTAATATTTTATATATTCGCCCACTATCATCTACCCTCTCTCTATCTCGTCTCTTCTCCCATATTCTCTTTCTCTCGTTTCTCTCTCTTCCCTCTCCCTCCACGAATGGACTGTCATCGCCACCGTGGCTGTCAACTACCACCTCCAAGCCTGGTGTATAGAATGGAACACCACAGTGTGCGTTCAACTCCTGTCTTTGAGTCTTTCTCTTCACCATGTCCAGTTTCTCTCTTTGCCACAAGTCGCTGTCACTTCGTTTCTCTCTTCGCCGCCTCTCCGTCTCTCTCTTCGATGTGCTGTGCAAAGAAGCACGGAGCACTGATGCCGATGCGACGCTTCCGTCTCATTTTCTGATCATCAATGCGATGATCAAGTAGAGTTTGCTCCCTTTAGACGACATCATGGTAGTCGTCACTTCAAAATTTAGTGGTGGTGGTGGTGTTCGTTTGGCGCTACCTGCCTGAGAGAAATTATGTTCGGGTTTTATTGGTGGCGTTGGTGATGTGACGGTGATCTTCTGGTGGTGTTGGTGTCGGTGTCGGACCTGTTGGTGCTATTGCGGTGATGTGGTGTTCGTGACGGCAATGGTGGTGCTGGTTGTGGGTGGGATGGTGGCAGTGACGGCAATGGTGATTGTTACCACCCAAATTTTTTTAGTCAAAATTTAAATGTTGATTAGTGAAATTCAAAGTTTTATTGGGGTTTATTTTATAATTGGCTGAGAGTTAAATTGGCTATAATTTAAAGTTGAAAATTTACTTATATAAATATTTGGAAGTTTAGAATTTAAATATTATATTCTATTAAAAAATAGGGACCTTCTTTTGCAATTTTGAACAAGTGACCTTTATATTCAAACTTTGACTATTTTTTTCCTCAAAAATCACACACAAACATACACTAGAATGTGTTGAACGAGAGAGAACGCAGAAGAGGAAAAGGGGAAGAAAAGAAAAAGAAAGGAAGGAAAAAAGGAAAAAGAAAGAAGAAATCTTGTACCGACCACTTCAATCTTCTTTATTTAATTCTTCAATAGGTAAGGTTAATAATTTATGATTTAATTTTTGTAAATTTTTGTTTAGGATTTTAAATTTATAACTTATACTTGAAAAATATGATAAGGAAGCTAACTATTTAAGTATTTGGAGCTAGTTATTATAGTGGATTGGAATAAATGATATTTAGATATTAGGGTTTTGTTATATGTGGGTTAATCCGAAAATTTGGGGAAAAATATGCATTCTTGTTATTTTCCCTTATAATTGTTTTATGGTATTATTAAGTTAGATTAGTTGAAAATAACTTATTTTATGCTTGAATTCTCACTTTGGATGAATATGGAGAATATAAGAAAGGAGCTTTTGATGAGATTTATGTATTTAGTTAAAAGAGAATTTAAATAAGGAATGTGGATGATTATTATCATGAAAAGCTTGTTGAATCTTTATGGGGCAGTCGAGAAAGGTTAGTATTAACGAGTGAAGGATGTAGAATGATTCGAAATTAAATGAACGTATGTTTAAGTAATCAAATGAAATATAAATATTAAGTATTAGCTTATTGCTTATTGAGGGATATATATTTTATTTTGATGATAAGAAAGGGTTATTATTGAGAAATCTCTTGTAACTGTATATGGATGAAATTGAAGTGGCTTATATTTATGATCGTTTCAGGAGGGGATTTGGATGTGGAAACAGCATACCTGCCCCGTTAGTCCAACCTATATCTGTGAGTGGAGAAGCTATATTTTCAAAAAGAAGATTTTCTTTTTATTTTAAAGAAGTATGTTAATTACATGAAATGCTTTATTTTCGAGAATTAGTAAATGAGTATGATTGTTTTGAAATTATCATAAAATAATTGATGTGATTATCTTACTCTAGTGCACTGAGGGGCTACAACCGTGTACTAGAGTCATGTATTTTAACTTTTATCCACCGAGGGGCTACGACCGTGGGTAAAGGTATCTAATATACACTGAGGGGGCTAAGGTCGTGGGTGAAGGTATCCATTATACACTGAGGGGTTACAACCGTGTATAAGGATGATTATGTTGTTTCCATCTTGTATACTGAGGGGATACAGCCGTGTACAAAGTATTGATCAAACGATTTATGTACATATGATTTATAGCTTGCAGATCATTAGTAGATGTTTACATGGGATATATTTTGATGTGAATTTTAATTATATAGTGGATTATTGGTCTTCAGCTTACATTTTTCCCGTTTACAGTTCAACTTGTGAATTTTAGATTATGGTTTTTGATTATTGAATTGTCTAATGTACTTACTCATCTAGCTCTGTGTGTGTGTGTGTGTATTTCTTGGCTTTTCTTCAGATCTAGTAGATCTGGAGAAAAAAATCTTTGGTTACATGGGATATATTTTGATGTGAATTTTAATTATATAGTGGATTATTGGTCTTCAGCTTACATTTTTCCCGTTTACAGTTCAGCTTATGAATTTTAGATTATGGTTTTTGATTATTGAATTGTCTAATGTACTTACTCATCTAGTTGTGTGTGTGTGTGTGTGTGTTTCTTGGCTTTTCTTCAGATCTAGTAGATCTGGAGAAAAAAATTTTGAATTCTATATGAAAATTCTTTAAAAATAGCTTTAGCTTTTCCATTAGAAAAAGTTAAAATTCCATTTGAAATGGTATGAGTTTGAGCTGGAGTAGGAGCTTGAATATTTTCAAAATTCCATTCAAGTCCTTTGGATTGAAGATTCCAAGGGATTCTTTTGGTAATTTCAACATTTGAATGAAAAGAATTAACTTCTACTAAAAGACTTTCTTTTCTTGGTGAAGAATAAAGAGCACAAATATTGAGTTGAATATTCATAAACTTGTAATATATTATATATATTATAGTAAAAGCATTTGATCGACTATCAAACTCGAGATTTTTAGTCTAAATATGAAGATTTAGAGAATTTAAAATTGTTCCATCTGTTAATTTTATTGAAAAGTTTGGATAACAGTTTGAAAAAATTGGACCACGTTCAAGATTTGATTCAAGAAGTGAAAGTAAAGAATTTTCAAATTTGAGATGTCTCTTATCTCTAAGAGTAATTAAAATTGGAATGTCAAGACCAAGTCTAAATAAAGGTTTGACAACAATTTTAACTAATCCCACATGAAGATATTTGAATTTCTTCTTATGAGATTCAATAGATTCTTTTGAAAATAAATTGATAAATGCATTTTGACTATTAATTGAAATTGTTTGTTCAAATGTTTTGATAACATAATTTTGAGTAAAATCAAATTTTCCTATTTCATAGATAAAATGTATATCTATCTTTGGAATAGTCCAATTTTGAAGATGTTGTTCAATTTGTGCAATTTGAAGCTCATTTGAGTTGAAATCATTTGATGCAGATGCAGATGATTTATTATCTATTTCTTCTTCATTTTGAAAAATATTTGTTCTATTTTCATTTAAATTTTGTCTATTTCTAGACCTAGATCTCCTTAGCCAATTTGAGACTGAAGACATAATTGAATAAAATGAAAACAAAATAATTCTCACAATAAAAACAGTAAAATATAAAAGACTGGTTCTTACCAAGCCTACAAACGGAACCACCCAACACGCCTACTCCGGCAAACAACGGGCTAACCAATGTCTATCCAGTAAACATCCCAGATTAAAGCCAAGACCATCTATTGTATAAGAAAGGAGCTTTTGATGAGATTTATGTATTTAGTTAAAAGAGAATTTAAATAAGGAATGTGGATGATTATTATCATGAAAAGCTTGTTGAATCTTTATGGGGCAGTCGAGAAAGGTTAGTATTAACGAGTGAAGGATGTAGAATGATTCGAAATTAAATGAACGTATGTTTAAGTAATCAAATGAAATATAAATATTAAGTATTAGCTTATTGCTTATTGAGGGATATATATTTTATTTTGATGATAAGAAAGGGTTATTATTGAGAAATCTCTTGTAACTGTATATGGATGAAATTGAAGTGGCTTATATTTATGATCGTTTCAGGAGGGGATTTGGATGTGGAAACAGCATACCTGCCCCGTTAGTCCAACCTATATCTGTGAGTGGAGAAGCTATATTTTCAAAAAGAAGATTTTCTTTTTATTTTAAAGAAGTATGTTAATTACATGAAATACTTTATTTTCGAGAATTAGTAAATGAGTATGATTGTTTTGAAATTATCATAAAATAATTGATGTGATTATCTTACTCTAGTGCACTGAGGGGCTACAACAATGTACTAGAGTCATGTATTTTAACTTTTATCCACCGAGGGGCTACGACCGTGGGTAAAGGTATCTAATATACACTGAGGGGGCTAAGGTCGTGGGTGAAGGTATCCATTATACACTGAGGGGTTACAACCGTGTATAAGGATGATTATGTTGTTTCCATCTTGTATACTGAGGGGATACAGCCGTGTACAAAGTATTGATCAAACGATTTATGTACATATGATTTATAGCTTGCAGATCATTAGTAGATGTTTACATGGGATATATTTTGATGTGAATTTTAATTATATAGTGGATTATTGGTCTTCAGCTTACATTTTTCCCGTTTACAGTTCAGCTTATGAATTTTAGATTATGGTTTTTGATTATTGAATTGTCTAATGTACTTACTCATCTAGTTGTGTGTGTGTGTGTGTGTGTTTCTTGGCTTTTCTTCAGATCTAGTAGATCTGGAGAAAAAAATTTTGAATTCTATATGAAAATTCTTTAAAAATAGCTTTAGCTTTTCCATTAGAAAAAGTTAAAATTCCATTTGAAATGGTATGAGTTTGAGCTGGAGTAGGAGCTTGAATATTTTCAAAATTCCATTCAAGTCCTTTGGATTGAAGATTCCAAGGGATTCTTTTGGTAATTTCAACATTTGAATGAAAATAATTAACTTCTACTAAAAGACTTTCTTTTCTTGGTGAAGAATAAAGAGCACAAATATTGAGTTGAATATTCATAAACTTGTAATATATTATATATATTATAGTAAAAGCATTTGATCGACTATCAAACTCGAGGTTTTTAGTCTAAATATGAAGATTTAGAGAATTTAAAATTGCTCCATCTGTTAATTTTATTGAAAAGTTTGGATAACAGTTTGAAAAAATTGGATCACGTTCAAGATTTGATTCAAGAAGTGAAAGTAAAGAATTTTCAAATTTGAGATGTCTCTTATCTCTAAGAGTAATTAAAATTGGAATGTCAAGACCAAGTCTAAATAAAGGTTTGACAACAATTTTAACTAATCCCACATGAAGATATTTGAATTTCTTCTTATGAGATTCAATAGATTCTTTTGAAAATAAATTGATAAATGCATTTTGACTATTAATTGAAATTGTTTGTTCAAATGTTTTGATAACATAATTTTGAGTAAAATCAAATTTTCCTATTTCATAGATAAAATGTTTATCTATCTTTGGAATAGTCCAATTTTGAAGATGTTGTTCAATTTGTGCAATTTGAAGCTCATTTGAGTTGAAATCATTTGATGCAGATGCAGATGATTTATTATCTATTTCTTCTTCATTTTGAAAAATATTTGTTCTATTTTCATTTAAATTTTGTCTATTTCTAGACCTAGATCTCCTTAGCCAATTTGAGACTGAAGACATAATTGAATAAAATGAAAACAAAATAATTCTCACAATAAAAACAGTAAAATAGAAAAGACTGGTTCTTACCAAGCCTACAAACGGAACCACCCAACACGCCTACTCCGGCAAACAACGGGCTAACTAATGTCTATCCAGTAAACATCCCAGATTAAAGCCAATACCATCTATTGAACAGTGCCTAAAGTGATAAATTAAATTAATTTTACAGTATTCTCTTATGGCTCTGATACCAAAATTGGCCCAGGGGAAATAGGGGAGAAAGATATAAACAAAATTTTGAAAATATGAATATTTATTGAAAATTTTAAAATTATACAATGGAAATTGAGTGTTTTGAGAGAACAGAAAGAAAAACTAAACTTCTAATATTCCAAGTCATTTTTATCAACCTAAAGAAAAAGAAAAAGAAATTGAACAACCAGAGTCTCCTACTTTTTCTGATATGGTTCCTCCTTCAAATCAAGAACTTGATCATCAATGTAATGTAATTTCTTCTGAAATTGATAGAAGAAAAGAATTCAAAAATGATCAAGATATTTGCGTTAAAAATTTTAGTAAACTTTTTAGACAAAGTTTATCTTCAAAACAAAAAGAAAACATTTCAAACATTTTCCAGAAGAGGTATCAAATAAAAGGAAATTTTCAAAAAGAAAATCTTCAAAAAATACTTCTAACATTACTTGTTGGAAATGCAATAAGACTGGTCATTATTCCAATAAATGTCCTCTTAAGAAGAAAATTAGTACTCTTCAAATTGATGAAGATACTAAAAATAAACTTCTCAATCTCATCGAATCTAGTTCTGATAATGAGTCTAACACAGAATTAGAACATGTTTTTCTCAATCAAGAAGATTCTGATTATGAATCTATTCAAAATTCTGAATCCAGTTCTTCTTCCAATGATGATAAAAAAATTTGTGGTTGTAAAACTATAAATGTTTTATCTAAAGAAGAAGAAATTATTCAAGATATTATTGATAGGATTGACAATCCTAAACTCAAAAAGAAATTTTCATCTCTTTTATCTTCAACAACAAAAGAAAGTTTTGATGATATCAATCTGACCAATATTCTTAAACGTGCTAAAAAAGAACTTTCAAAGGTTCTAAATCCTCAATTCCAGAACTTCAAGGAGAAATTAAAGATATGAAATCTCAAATTTCTAACCTTGAAGATAATGTCAAAGAAATTCACATGGAAGTAGTTTGCTTAAACCCAAAAAACTTAAATGATGAATTTTATTCAAAATTTAAAGGTAAATCCAAAATTTCTTCAAAGTCATCCTCAAAAAGACCCTCTCATCATTCAAAATCATCTTCATCTGAATTTTCTTCTACCTCAAAAATTCTTCAATCTGAAGAAGAAAAGGTTAATGTTATTAACCGAATTCAATTTCAAAAATGGTACTGCAATATGAATATAGCAGTCAACAAAGAATTCAAATTTACTACTCGTGTTCTTATTGTTTCAGGAGCAGATCAAAATTGTATCAAAGAAAGTTTGATTCCAACAAAATATTTTGGAAAAACTATTGAGCGTATTTATGGTGCTAGTGGTAAAAAATTAAATATTAATTACAAAATTTCATAAGCTCAT